GGCACGAGTGGTGTCACCGATGGACAGACACTTCACAGTGAAGACAATGACAGCTCAAGTGATGGCAATACCGGTGCCGAGCACTCGGGTGTCCACCCAATGGATGGAGTGGTGGACGACAATAGCGGTGAACCGGAAACACATGTGATGTCAGACTGTGATTACGGACATGAAGTGCAGACTTTGGACACAGAGGTCGACGACAACAGCAAAGACTCGGATGGTCTGGAAGTGGTGTCGGAAGCGGAGGATCAGCCCAAAGACACACCAGAAGTGAGAGGCGTTGAGGGCAGAGAGGACTTCATCGGTGGACAGACACCACAAACCGATGCCTCTAATGATCGGCCGTTTGTTTGCATTGAACCCAATTGTGGCAAACGATACACTATTAAGCAGAACCTTAATCGACACAAACGGATCCATTCGGGAGACAACCCATATGTTTGTGGTGTCGAGGGTTGTGGTAAAGGGTTCACCACAAAGAAAGGTATCCAATATCACCGAAACTGCGTTCATTTAAAACTCAAGACATTTGTCTGCAATGAAGACAATTGTGGACTAAAATTCGGCGCAAAGTCTACTCTTAATACTCACAAACTCATCCATTCGGGTAACAAACCATACGTTTGCGATGTCGAAGAATGCGGAAAAAGATTCAGACAAAACACATCGCTTCTGATACACAAACGCATTCATTCGGGAGTTATGCCATACGTGTGCGATGTGGAGGGTTGTGGTCACAGATCCAGACATAGATCTAATCTCAATCGACACAAACGGATCCATTCGGGAGACAAGCCATTCATATGTAATGCCGAGGATTGTGACAATCGTTTCGCTTATAAATCTCAATTAGATGGACACAAATGCGTCCATTCGGGTGACACACCGTATATCTGTGATGTCGAAGAATGTGGCAAACGTTTCATTTCTAAGTCTGGTTTACATCAACACAAACTCATCCACTCGGGAGACAAACCATACGTTTGCGATGTCGATAAATGCGGCAAAGGTTTTCGTCACAAGTCAGCTCTTAGTCGACACAAACGCATTCATTCGGGAGACAAACCGTATATCTGTTTGTATGCCAATTGTGGTCACAGTTTCAGACAGAGATCTAATCTCAATGTTCACAAACTCATCCATTCGGGCGAAAAGCCATTCAAATGTAATCATAAGGACTGCGGCCAAAGGTTCACCCAAAAGGTGCATCTCATTCAACACCAAAGCATCCATTCGGGTGACAAACCATACGTTTGCGATGTCGAGGAATGTGGCGAAAGGTTTCGACTAAAACGAGTCCTTAATCGACACAAAATCACACATTTGATTGACAATTGAATTAATGTTTTCTCAATTAGCCATAAATTGTGGTCAACTTTTGTATCGATTATTGATGTCTTTAACTATATTATAATTACAGTATTAATCACTTTATATTTCATTCAATTGAAATTGTTTTTAACGATTCATATACTAAATATTGATACACAACTTGTATTCATTTAACTGCTTTTAATTGCATAACTCATACGTTCATATTTATTACTATTTAAATAAATTCTTAATACAAAATAATCCATAATTTGTGACAAACATCAAATAAATCCTATTATATCCATAAAAACTTATTTCTAACGTAAACATCATTATACAACTTATTATATAAGCTATAAAATTATGAAATATTTAATAGTCATGGGATGTAGGCGTTAATGAATCAATTTCTATATGACATAAAATTTATAAAACTAAACAAACACTACAATTACTCCAGTATTCAAATGTATTGTATTGTGAAATATCACATAATTTGCTTCACTGTGTAAACACAATAATTCAAGACAAAAATGTTTGATATGAATAAAGTCATTATAATTTTCATAACATATTTATAAGCAATTCTTAACAGAATATTCTGTACCCATATTAGAGAGAGAGTGAATGAGTGAGTGAGTGAGTGAGTGAGAGAGAGAGAGAGAGAGAGAGATTTTAGACATACATATATCAGCCGTACAT